AGGTGCGAAACGGCTATTGAAAGAATCATTGAGTTGTTAAAGACAGAGTTTATGAACAATCAAACTATCCCAAATATTTGTGATGTACCTGCCACGGTCGCGGTCCCGGTCGTCGCGGCGACGATCATCTCTATCTCTGTCTCTATCTCGGCGATCATCTCTGTCTCTGTCTCTACGGTCATCACGATCACGACGCCTACGTTCTCCTCTAGCATATTCAACAATCAGTCTACATTGCAAATCAAAAATTAATGGAAAATTTAAAATAAAATTACGTTAGTAAAATTCTTTGAAGCGCAATTTGGCATATTTGTCTGAAGTTTGCGACAGAACTTTTTAATAGCCGTCAATTTTTCCGAATGAGAGGAAAAATTGAAAATTTCATTTTAAAATTTGTACTTACTTCTCTCCCATAAAGCTTTTGCCGTTAAAAGTATAGACGACATCATCAGCATCGCGGTGGTCTCTAAACTCAACGAAGCCAAAACCATTCATCAGTTTTATTTCTCTGATGGTGCCGTAGTTACGAAAGAGTTTTTCGACGTCTCGTTCACGGGCGTCCCTAGCAAGACGGCCAATATACACTCTCGTCGCCATTAGATTTATCTTTTATATAAAAGCAAGTTAGCGAAGTGGGATGGTTTCTATCTTTTAGGACAAGGATGAATATTGTATAGCTTTACAGATAAGAAAAAAAAACAATTTATAATGGCTAAATGAATTATATAAATAGCACAGTAAATCTATAAAAGATTTACGAGTTTTATACTTTTTTTTAACTAAATCACAGTATTAGCGCAAATGTTAACCAATCGGATAAGATTTTACCTTACAAAAATCTAATATCGATATCGTATCAGTTAGGGAATCTGTAACACAGAAAGTGTGGATCATGAAAATATAACTTCTAAGCCCCACGTTCTTTTTTAAAATTCTGGGAAAATGAAAATAAGTTTTACATGTACGTACGTAGCTTAGTAAAAAATGTCTAAATTATTATTAGGCCAAGCAAAGTTAATTGTTTGGTTCTCATAACCCGGCCGGGTCAAATTTTGTTAAAAAGATTTTTATATATATGTAATTTTTTGAAAGTCGGGTGCCCAGGTTATTTTTAATAACAGTCACACGATATGTCACATCTAAAATTTTGTCATATGATTTTCATAAATTACACAAATCGACGAAATTACATTTTTAAACATTTCACCTAAAAGCTTAGTTGAAGTACACTATGTTCCTTAAGACAAAATTATTGCCAGAGTTTTTACGAGCCAAATGGTATCAAAAACATAAAAAACGAGCTTCTCCTTATAAAATAACATAATCTTGAACATAAGCCATTATTTTGTCTACTTTCGCCGCATTCTTTTTAGGTCTGCAAATTCACGACCCAAAAAGTGTTTCACTAGACGCGTCTAAACGAGAGCTTTCAGCAAAATTAAGCTTTGAAAGGTTGGTACATTATTAAAGTAACGAAGAAAATCAAGA